TAGAGGCGTCGACTATAGTGCGCATGCTAACAAACTATCGCAGAACTGCTGCGCTTAGGAATTCACGGAATTCGTCTTTCTTGAAATACTCAGAGACTTTAAGAATGCAGGTGCTCACACGCATATGTGTATCGGGACATCGAAAATGGATCACCTCGCGACATCATTGACATCACCACCAACATCAAATCATGTTTCAGCAACAACATCGACATCACCATATGTATGTTCATCAACACCACCATAAAAAAAAAAAAAAAAACTATATCATATAAAATCAACATAAAAATATCTATTCTGGAAAAATATCTAACTTTCAATACGCAACAAAAATAAAGCAGTTTTTCTGCGCGAGCCACCCTCTGGGTAGGTAGGTTGCCACGACGCCCGCCTCGGCATAGCCGACGCGGAAGGTGCAGGCGTAGGCTCCTTGGCGCAGCCGCCCGAGTCCTTCTCGCGAGCGCTGCACCGTTGGCTACTAAGGGATCCCGTGGCTTCCAACGTATTTCGCATGATCGTCCGTTAACGGTTGAGTCACGCGATGCATGTTATAGAGGTTTTCCCAATATTTCCGAGGGAGATGTTCCCTCTTCCGAGATCACAGCAAGAGCGAAGGGGGAAGTTGACTAAACTTGTTGTTGTCCTCGTTCAACTGCATCCTCTTCCGAGGGAGGCCATCGCAATGTTTTGCGACGAGCCCCGACAGAAAAGTTGCCGGGCACGCGCAGGCGGCTCGGCGCGGACTTAATGTTCAGTTTCACCCCGTGGCTTGGGAACCCGCCGTCGCCGCGGCCCAAGGGAGCTGCCGTCGAGCATAGACGATAGGTGAAAATTTCCAAGACAAGAATACCGAATCATGCAAACATAATGGAAGGCATCATTATGGGATGCTCAGCTTCGAGCGTCCGATTTAGCCGATGAAGTTTGGCATCTTTCGTTAGAATCTGAGAAAAGGGGGGGTGCTGTCCCGGGCGGCTCAGCCGCTGTGGGGTGCAGAGAGAAAGCGCCCATGCACCTTGGACCGCTTCGGTTCATAGTCGGCACAGGCTGTGGACACAATCTTGTCGCTGAGAGGTTCGTTCGGGCTGCAGGCGCAATGGGTATGATAAACGCTTGGAAGATCCAATTACTCTGAACACTTCCGCAAGTTCTTCGAGGGCCCTCGGTTCAGTTTGCGTCGCATGCCTTACTTTTAGGGATGGGCAATTCGAAGCATTGGTCATGCCGGAAACACCGGCGGTGATCTCAGTAGGAGAGCGGTGCGTGGATCACGGCTTCAGCTTCGCCCGGCCAGCTGGCCAGCGATTTTACTTACTTCTGCCGAGCGGTCACAGAGTAGACCTGATCGTTGAGGGCAAGATACCATACTTGACCCTATCTGGCAGAGAGGCGCTGGGTCAGTGGATGCGCGGTCGCCGCCCGGAAGCCTGCGGCCCCCGAGCGGTGGCGTTGCGTGACGTCAGTCGCCGAGACATGTCTGGGCGATGTGGAATCTGCGGGAGGGCCTCCGCCCCACTCAATCCTGAGTCGCGTAACAATAGACATGCACACACATGGTATGATAAGTGTCCATGGCTATGCGGATGGCAGGCCAGCCATAGCTGAACGCCCGTTTCCGCCTGGCCTAGACTCCATAGATACCGTGCTTATTGCAACTATTCGCCTCAGACTGCTCATGAGTATGGATGGAGCAAGACATCCACTGGCGTCATGAGCTAGGTAAGTCCCTCAGTTACCTCCAATCGCGACCCAGTCGTCGATTGCATTGCGCCACGACACGGCTTAGCCGATGGTTGCGCGGCTGTGATTCACAGCCCTTATTTCTGGGGTTTCGGGAGTCTTGCCTGTCGACATGGATCGTTGACTGGAGTCTATCGCTATTGTCGCAGCACCTGGCCAAAACGAGGATGCAGATGAGGGCTCGGGTGGTGTTCACCTTGTTGACATCGACGGACCACTTGATATCGACCCAGATGCTGCCGAGGTTGAGGTGCCGGTCTCAGCGACAGCGTTTCAACAAGAGCACGGCCTCTTTCTCGCACCTACTAACTCATACTCCAAAGAACCCTTTTTGCTCCAAGGCAAAAGCTATCAGGCGCCAACAAAGAAAGGCGTACAACAAAGGGCTGAGGGCACCTAGATCAGATGCGAATCCCATTGCGTTCGGACACAGGACCGCAATGGATCACTGGCTTGCGATGGATGACGAATTGCGGGGGCTCCACGATGAGTCCGCGCGTGTGACTCTTCGCGACCGGGCAACATATTTCCTAGCAGCGCAGGGTGTGCACGACAAGCGGCTCACGTATGCAACTTTTTGAATGACTTCAAAGCCCCAGGGGAGAAGTTATGATATTGTTATGCAGATGGTGCAAGGGAACTTGCACGCGCGTGCATTGAATTAAAGATGGCGCATGGTTCTACCATCCCTGGACATGAGAAGCGTATGGATGTTGCTGAACGGTCGCATGGAATTGCTCAGATGGGGACTCGAGCCCTGCTTATGCAGGCAGGCCTTCCCCCACCTTTTTGGACGACTGCCGTCCGATATTTTTGCTTATGCTACAACGCGAGGATCCCTGACGAAGGTGACTCGTCATGTAAGCGAAGATTCGGACACGAGTTTGCAGCGCCGCTCCTTCCATTTGGATCTCTGGTTCGCTGTGTGCCCCCCCCCAAATCTCGGTTTCGGATCGCCAAAACTGGCGGGGCGATGGCCGCGGGGATTTAGTTCGGATGTGTGCACAGGGCGGGGGGCATGGTGGGACCTGAGAGCTACGCGTCACCTTTGAGACAGGTCGACGAACTTAATATGAACACAGGGCGAACGCCAGCAGGCATTGAAAAGTCCGATCAACTCTACAGCAATATTTTAGACGGTGCGGCGCCATATCGAGAGCCGAAGTTCCCTATGCGCGAAGCGTACCAGGCAGCGCAGACGAAAGTTACGAACGTTATTATACCCCCAGTTGGTTCCTCCGACGGCATGGCCGGTCAGGGGGCGAAGCTCGGGTCACAGACGGCGCGGCTGTTCACCGACCGGGGCCCCTGGCGAACCTATGCCGCCGCCTCCAGCACCTGGCGAGGCCGCAGCACCACCGAACGATGATGATGACTCCGATGGCGATGGTCGGGGGGGAGTCGTTGTGGGCGACGTGCCCGTGGCGCTGGACGGTCGGGATCTTCGGCGAGATTCGACGCCGGATGATGACTTGAAACAAAAGCTAGGTCTCGCTCAAATAAGATATAGAATGGATCGTCCGTCTAATTTCTCGATGCTGGAAGACCTCCTGGACGCCCTTTGGGCCGTCTTGGAAGCCTCTTGGGGGCCCCTGGGTCGTCGCGGGCCATCTTGAAGCCGTCTTAGGCCGTCTGGGGTGCATTTGGGCCGTCTTGGAGGCATCTTGGGGCGATCTTTGCCGTCTCGAAGGCCATGTTGGCCGTCTTGGAAGCCCCTTGAGCCTTCTTGGGGCCGTCTTGGGGGCCTCTTGGGCCGTCATGGGGCCATCTTGGAGGCCTCGTAGGCGATATTGGGGGCCTCTTGGGCCGTCTTGAGCCGTCGGAATGCCGAGAAGAAGCAAATGTCAAAATCTTTCAAAGACCTTGGCTGTGCGGGCACTTTAATGACTTGTGAGCGCTTCGGCGATGTATCTTTCCATGGCCGCTCCTCTGCTCGAGCATTTCGGAGGGCCTGCATGTTTCCCGCCCTGCTGGGGAACGCAGGGCTTCAGGATTTCGCTCGGGCTTTCGGACGTGGGTCACTGGCTGCCATCGCGGGGCAGGTGACGTGCCCGTGGCCCCCTCCTTGCCCTGCCTGTGAGCTGCGCTGCGGTGAGGCAGCGACCTGCGACCTCAAGCGTCCCGAGGTGAGCTGCCCGAGCCTCGGGTGCCCAGCGGTGGAGGTGCCGTCCTGCCCGGCGCCCGTGCCGCGCGGGGGTGTGGAGGCACCGAAGAGTGGCGTGGCTTTCGGTTCTTTCTTAACCTTGCGGGGCAGTGGGTTGCGGGTCGCGGCGTGAGACATGCTGCAGCTGCGAGCCTCTCGAGTGGGAAGCGAGGCGTGGTGGAGTGCCCAATCGACCGGGGACTCGTCTGCTGTTCTTGCACGACGAGGACCTGGTGCACGAGCGCGTCCTTTTCTGGCCTCTTTCCGCTAGACATTGGACAGTGTTCACGCCAGGCGACGGCATCTATGACGAGATCCTAGATGGAGACGGCATCGGGGATATCTACCCTGTGCGACGGGGGGGCGCCCCCCTGCCAATCTGGAGCTCCCGGCGAATCGTTTCCGAGCGGGGCTGGAGCTAGAGGCGGTGCGTCTTGCTATCCGTGGGGGGCGTGCGGAGGCGGTGCGGTTGCATGCTGAAGGTGCGCCCGACCTGGTGAAGGCCGAGGACGTGCGTGGCTGGCGTGGCTGGGGAGGCGCCGAGCCCCCTCTTGGCGATCTGCTGGGGCCGGAGATGGCCCCAGGAGCAGGGGCGCCTGAGCGAGCTGTTCTCGTCGCTGAGCCAGGTTCGGCGTGGGTCGTGGCCGCCGAGGCGCCGAGCTCCCCCCTGGGCCAGCGTGTCAGCGGTGGCAAGTTGGAGGCGGTGGTCGGTCTGAAGGGGCTCTACCGTTTGCGTGCCTCAGGCGGTATTGAGGAGGTGGCCTTCGTGGGGCAGATCCGCGAGGAGGAGATCGGCGCGCGCGCCGACTCGCGGCGGGCTGCCATCCAGGAGTGGGCGGGGGGAGTCGCCGCCCCGCGAGATGACCCAGGGCAGAGAGTCGATGGGGCGCAGGATGTCGGCGAGGACGAGGATGTCGCCAGGGCGCTGGCCGTGCTGTACGACGAGCAGGGCGAGAGATGGAGGCCCTGGCGGCGCGCTGCCGCCTCGGCGTCTGGGAACTTTTATGAAGACTGGCCCATCGAAGGCCCCGGGACCACTCGATGGTTGCTGAATCACGTGAAGCGAGCTGGAGGCAGCCCGACGCAGCGGTGCCATCGTTTCCTGGTTGAGTCGAAGATTGCCCCCACACTGATCGTGCAGCTTACGAGTTGCAAGCGAGCGCGCCGTGCGCTCTGGGGCTGGGGCGCGCGAGCCCCGGGCTTCTCTCGCATCCCGGAGGCCTTCGAGATGTTCGTCGCGCTGTGCGCGGGGCTGCCGCCGGAGCTGACAGAGAATGTCCGGGTGGCCATCTTCGCGCTCCTAGCGTCGCCTGGCGCCGACGTGCGACCGGGAGGGGTTCGCGCGCTACTTGCTCACTGGTTGTCGGCGTCGGCTCAAGACATTGTCCGGCGCGGAATGCTCGTCTTCAGGCCCGATGTCGGCAAGATGGTGCAGGTGGCCGCCGCCAGGGTCGACATGCCGAACGTGATGCTGTCCTTGGTCCAACCCTGCGGGGCCTCGATCGACGCTCTCAACCGCGCTTTGCTACTTGGAGAGACCAGAGAAAGAGGGCGATGGCAGAGCGCAAACAATGTGCTACGTTACAAGAAACGAAGAAGGATCCTCGAGCGGTGGCAGATCTCACCCATAATGTTCAGAGACTACGCGACGGTGCGTGCAGAGCATCCACGGGGACATTCCAACTATCCAAACACATTCTTCGAGTTCCCAACCTTGCCGCCAATTGGGGCGCGGGAGGCATTTTCTCAGGAAGCGGCAGGTTCGCAGGGGCCGCGAAGTAGTCGGGCGGACGAGCTATTTCGACTGACGTCATCCACGGTCCCCAGGAAGACTTGAGTACGAGATCAGTATAGACACAGGTGATCGCTAGACTTCTCTGTTCTGAATGTAGAGGTGGCCTGATAGGCTGCCCCGGTGTGAGTTTTTCGAGAGCTAGGCGTGACCCCGCCCTTGAGAACCAACTCGCGTGTTCTTGGTGTCCCGAATCTCTCTGACTCGGATCCGGAAAAAGTCCGCGTTGGAAGCTGTTTGGCCGCTTTTTCGCTTCGCGTCTTTACCGTGCGCCGTGAGCTTGGGAAGATCTGCATAATAGAGAGTCCTCCGACTTCGTTGCTTTGGAAGCTCCCCGGCTTCCAGGAAACCGCCGCCCTGTCTAGAATCGTGACTCGTGATGCCCATTTCTGTCAATGGGGCTCCACGTGGCGGAAGGCCACGCGCTTCATGATCTGCATTGCCCGTGACATCTCAAGCAAGCTTGAGCGCAAATTCTCAGGGGCAGGCACCTGCAATCGGACCGGATGTGTTCATCTGATCCTCGAGGGAAACGCGGCTGATGGCCGCTTCTGGATTTTAATTGCTCAACCGTACCCTCGCCCTCTGCGCTCGTGCCTCAGATTTTTTTTGTGCCTCGCTAAACAGTGCAAGACTAGCCCCCGGGAGTTTTTTTCTATGATTCCAGGTGTGCTAGCGCTTTGCTGTCTCGTAGTTCTGCAAGGCAGTGCGAAACTGGTGCCCCGCGAGTGAACTCCAGGCCTGGCTTCACTACAGAACCTGCTGCTGAGTGAGAAAAGTCATGGCTGTGCGGGGACTTCGGTGACTTGTGAACGTTTCGGCGATGTATCTTTCCATAGCCGCTCCTCTGCTCCCCAACCCTCCCACCCTTACAGGTGTACTAGCGCCTTGCTGTCTCGTAGTTCTGCAAGGCAGTGCGAAGCTGGTGGCCCGCGAGTGAACTCCAGGCCCCACTTCACTACAGAACCTGCTGCTGAGTGAGAAAAGCCAACGGAATATCAATGATTTTGGCCTCTTCGGGCCCTCTTGTAGGACCTCTTGGAGGCCTCTTGGGCCGTCTTGGAGGCCTCTTGGGGGCCTCTTGGGCCGTCTTAGGCCATCTTGAGGCCATCTCAGACCGTCTTGGGTGCATCTTGGGCCGTCGTGCAGGCATCTTGGGGCCAGCATCGCCGTTTTGGAGGCCATCTTGGGTGTCTTGGAGGCCTCTTGGGCCGTCTTGGGCCCTCTGGGGGCCGTCTTAGGGGCCTCTTGGGCCGTCATGGGGCTATCTTGGAGGCCTCGTGGGCGATCTTGGGGCGATCGTGGGGGCCTCTTGGGCCGTCTTGAGCTGTCGGAAGGCCGAAAAGAAACAAATGCCAAAATCCTTCACAAACCCAAGGGGAATCAATGATTTTGGCCTCTTCGGGCCCTCCTGGAGGACCTCTTGGAGGCCTCTTGGGCTGTCTTGGAGGCCTCTGGGGGGCCTCTTGGGCCGTCTTGGGCCATCTTGAGGCCATCTGAGGCCGTCTTGGGTGCATCTTAGGCCGTCTTGGAGGTATCTGGGGGCCATCATCGTAGCCGTTTTGGAGGCCATCTTGGGCCATCATGGAGCCATCTGAGGCAGACAAATCCTTGGCAACCGGGTCCGGGCAATCCTCTCGGGACCCTGGCGGGACGGGCCGAACCCCCAGGAAGAGTTCTTTTGGAAACCAAAACCAAAACGTAAGAAGTCCAGCACGCCAGGCACCCCTGTGATGAATCAACAGGGGGCGGCGGATCGAAGGCGCCTACGGCGAATCACCGCCGCCCCCTGCCTTTTTGGAAGCGCCTATGTGGCCGAACGTTGAGGCCAGACCTGCCAAGCTGTCGGACCATGTGCTCCCTGAATCGGTTTGGAAAGCCTTTGGGGAACACGTGGGCATCTTGAAGGTCATCTTGGCCGTCTGGAGGCCATTTTGACCCTTTGGGGCCTTTTGGAGGACGTCTTGGAGGGCTCTTGGGCCGTCTTGGAGGCCATCTTGAGGGTCTTAGAGACCTCTTGGCCCGTCTTGGGGGCCTCTTGGGGGCCGTGTCTTGGGCCTCTTGGGCGATCTTTGGGGGCACTTGGGCCGTCTTGGGCCGTCGGAAGGCAGAAAAAAGGCAAATGCCACAATCCTGCAAAAACCCATGGAAAATCCATGATTTTGGCCTTTTCGGGCCTTCCCGGAGGCTCTCTTGGAGGCCTCTTGGGCCGTCTTGGACCATCTTAGGGCCATGTTCGGCCGTCTTGGTGGGCTCCTGGTCCGTCTGACGTTTGGGGGGCCTCTATGGGCCGACTTGGGGCCCTCTTGGAGTGCTCCAGGGCCGTCTTGGAGGCCATCCTGGGCGTCTTAAAGGCCTCCTGTGCCGTCTTGGGGGCCTCTTGGAGCCGTCTTGGGGCCCTCTTGGGCCGTTCTGGGGCCATCTTGGAGGCCTCTTGGGCGATCTTTCGGCGATCTTGGGCCGTCTCGGGCCGTCGGAAGGCCGAGAAGAAGCAAATGTCAAAATCCGTCAAAAACCTTAGGAACATCCATGTCCTCTTCTGGCCTTCCTGGAGGCCCTCTTGGGAGCCTCTTGGGCCGTCTTGGGCCAGCTTCGAGCCAATTTCGGCCGTCTTGGTGGGTGTCTGGCACGTCTGACGCCGTCGGGAGCCGTCTTGGGGGGCCTTTCTGGGCCGACTTGGGGCCCTCTTGGGGCGCTTCGGGGCCTTCTTGGAAGCCATCTTGGGCGTGTTGGAGGCCTCTTGGGCCGTCTTGGGGCCCTCTTGGGGCCGTCTTGGAGGCCACTTGAGCCGTCATGGGGCCTTCTTGGGGGCCTCTTGGGCGATCTTGGGGGCCCCTTGGGCCGTCTTGAGCCGTCGGAATGCCGAGAAGAAGCAAATTTTAAAATCTGTCAAAAATCTAAGGGACAAATCATGATTTTGGCCTCTTCGGGCCCTCCTGGGGGACCTCTTTCAAGCCTTTTGGGCCGTCTTGGAGGCCTCTGGGGGGCCTCTTGGGCCGTCTTGGGCCGTCTTGGACTCTCTTGGGCCATCTTCGAGGCCGTCTTGGACCATCTTGGGCGGACTTGGAGGCCATCTTGGACCATCTTGGAGGCCATTTTGGGCCAACGTGGCCATCTTGGAGGCCTGTACGTTGTGCCACGAGTTTGCATCGCACAGATCCGTTTCATTCTCCGCTCCATAGTCTTTCTGGCTCAATGGACTTGGCCCTGTGAGGATTACAGGCCGTTGCTCCTTGGGCCCCTCTTCTTTCCGTGGCTCGCGGCCCAGACTGCCACTGCATCGCTGACTGCCAGGTCAGCAGCGATACAGTTGAACTGCTCGGTCGCCAACTGGAGCGCTGCGGGCCAGAACAGCTCACGTGCCCAGCGTGTCCGAGCTGCCCGCAGCTGCAGTGCCCAGAGACGCCGTTCGCGTGGGGGGTGCTCTGCGCAGGTTTCGTGTTCGGCCTGCTCTTCGCCCTCGCCGTGGCGCTCGTGGGTTGGAGGGTGGCTCGCCTGCGGTCTACGGTGACAGATGGCAGCTCTCAGCCCAGCCGAACGTACGCTGCGCTGCCTCCAGAGCCTGCAGGTGGGCTCGAGGGTCCTCGCCTACTACGATCCTCGCGATGACTACTGTCACGAGAGAATCATGTTGGCGCATATTCACGGATATCGGTTTGGTGGTGCTCACCGCACACTGGGACATTTACGACGAGGACATGTCCCAGGCGATGCGCCTCTTGCCGCTGGGACCTCGTGGCGGGCTCCCCGTCCCCGGCCCTCGAGGCCATGTGCCGCGGGTGGACAACGCGAGGCTCACCGCGGAGCTCCAGCAGCTGTGTGACGAGGCGGCGCAGATGGCCGCGGACATCCGCAGTGAGGAGGGCCTTCCTGACCGGCCCGCGGCCCTTGGAACGCTCGGCGACGCACCAGCCCCTCTGGCGCCAGTGGTGCCAGGCGGCGCTGCGGCGCTGGCGGCTCCCGCGGCGGCAGCGGGGCCTCTGGTGGCGGCGGCGGGGGAGCCAGCGGCGGCGGCGGCACTTGCGGCCCCCCAGGCGGCGGCGGCGACGGCCCCGGCTCCCGCGGCGCGCGGCGGACCGCCGCTGGCGGGCGCACTCCTCGCGCCAGCTCCCCCGCACCCGGCGCAGCCAGCAGCGGATGCAGTTTGGCTGGCCGCGGAGACGCGGGGGGCTTTGCGATTGGTGCTCCGATCCCGTCGGAGCTCCTCCTGGCGGACGGCAGGCCGCAGGTCCTCTTGGGCGATCGCGGAGTGGTGCTGCTCCCGACGGGCACGCCCATTTCAGTCGCGGTCGCCGATTCCTTGGAGGCGGCTGCGGCTCAGAGGTTCGGGGGCGGCGCAGACCTGCGGACGCTGCCGGTGCTGTGCTCGGCTGCGGGCGGTCGCTCCAGGTCGTTCCACGACGCGGTGGCCAAGCTCTCCACGACGCCGTTCGCGGATTGGCGTATCAAGGGGCCGCGCACGGCGGCCTGGCTGCTGGAGAAGATCTCGGAGGCGGGGTACACGCCGCTGCAGAGGCACTATTGGTGGAGGTCGATTCAGGGTCTCACGGCTTCCGACGCGGGCGTGGACGACCGTCACTTCATTTCAGAGGTCCTGCAGGAGCTCACCACCTACGATCAGCTCAACGCAGGCGAGCTGGTCGCGGCGGAGATGCTGTGCCGCCGATACCAGCTATGGGAGGAGCTATACGCATCGAGCTTGCGCGAGGCCGAGGCTGGCCAGGACGCGGCGCCCTGGCTTGACGAGCGGTCCATCTTCCTGGGCCAGGACAGGAGTCGCGGCTCGGCGCTGGTTCGCCCCGCCCTGGAGAGCTGGGTTGCCGAGAAGCTCAAGGAGGAGAGTGCCATCCTCAAGGGGCGCAGGAGGGGTCGAGAAGAAAGGCTGCTTGAGCGCGGTGCCGACCCCGGCACTGGCTCCGGCGACGCGGCGGCGGGCGCCAAGGCCAAGGCGCGCGGCCGCGGCCGCGGGCGCGGCGCCTGAGCCGCCACCTCGCATCGGGGAGGCCCCCGACCCCGATGCGCTCTTTCAGGGGGGGCGAGGTGTGCTGGGGGATGCTGCCACCGCGCTGGGTTTTGGCGATGACGGTCTTGTCCAAAGAGATGTACTGCCTCTCCCTCTCGGTCCTGAGGCTCTCCAGTGCTTGAAGGAGTTCTCGGCCCTCGACGGCGAGCTCTCGCTGGGGCAGCGGCGCAAAGCCGCGCGCTGCAGGCGGCAGGAGCGCTGGATGCTGGAGGGCGTCGCCGCGCTCAGCGAGCTGGGCGGCGGCGGGCGCGCGGCGGGCAGTGGCGTGCGGCTCAGCTTGGCGCAGCGGACCGCGCTGCATCACCTGGCAGAGGTCTACGCATCTGTCCCGCCCAAGACCGAAGTCTGCACCAACCAGGAGGCGTTCCAGGCGCTTCTGGGGCTTCGACCTGGCTACTCCGACGAGCCAGCTATCGGGGCGAAGGCCGGCTACCAGCGCGGGGAGGTTCCCTTCCCTCTGGCGGTGCAGGTAGAGTTGATCTCGCTCGGCTTCTGCCCACGCACCTGCAGTCCGCGGTGGAGTCGGAGCAGGGGGTTCTCGCTGCTCGGAGCAGGAGGCTCTCGCTGCTCTGGAGGAGGCTGATGTCGCATGCTATGTCGACAGCAAGCTGGCCCAGCGGGGCATGGACTACGGGCGGTTCTTGCTGGAGCTGTATGATGCAGGTATCGTCGAAGTTTTGGATGATGAATCGGATCGGAAGGGGGAGACGGGCATCTTCTTCGTTCCGCGCAAGGATGACAAGCTCAGGCTCATCTTTGACACCAGGAGGGCGAACTGTCACTTAATTAAGGGCGCCCGAGCACACGCACTTGGCCTCCGGTGATGCGCTCAGCAGATTGGAGTGCGCGCCCGGCGAGGCGGTGCACTTGGCTGCGGGTGACGTCGAGCTTTGTTTTTACTAGTACTTGCTAACCTGGCTGGGCCAGGAACTACTTCTGCTTGCCTGACGTTGCGAACCACTTG